TATCAAGAGCGTGGATGTGTGCTCCAATGTCGTTTTAGAGAATCATGCCAGTTTCCATTACAAGACAGAGTGACAAATGAGTGGAATGGAAAAGCCCAATAAATTAATTCCGGTAAATTCATCCTACATACGCCATGTTCAGATGAATTACGAAGCTATCTCTGATACGGAGTTTAGAAGAAAGCCCTTCCACAAAAAGGTCAACAGTGGAAGTATTATTTTCTTATATTGTCACCATAATTCCACGTTTTGTTTGCATTAGCCACGTAATTGTAGGGAGGCCCATGAGGTGGAGGCTTTTGGATTTCAACTAGGAAACATATACTTTTTGAACCTAGATTCCGTTTACCGCGCAGGGATTTTCGATAGAATAAATTGTTCGATCATGCTTGCTGCCTTTGTAAGATGCCCATTTGACTTTCACTTATGTTTATCCACGGACTTGTTTTTAAACGCGCATTCGAATTGTACATTGGCCTGCGGGGCCGACCAATCTTCAGGTTAGCGTTTTCATCGTATCAAACCAGTTTTGGCACTCGGCTGGGATCTCGGGCAGAAAGGCTGTTTGGATCGACTGGATGGTTTCGTCTCTCGGAAAAAAGTGCGCTGCTGGGATATTGCGCTACTTGCAACTTTATGAAATTAAAGGCTGTTGAAGTAAAGAACTAACCCTGAGCTCGCTGCTGCGCTTTGCTGCGGTGGTGCAAATCTGGCTCTGACTGGCTGTTAGCAGGTCAACATCAGGTCGAGATGATCTCGACATCAGTCACAAAAAGCTGTCAGACCGCTGGAGATCGCCCTAAAAGGTCTAAGATAACGTCCTCCATACTTATGCAGTTTTCTGAGAAAATATGACATAAGGAAAAGAGTAAGGACACTTTTCTGAAAAATTGAGTCAGTGACCTTTCACATGAGGTAGACCCCATCTCTACTCAAGGCAGAAAATGGTCATAACTTGAGGTTTACTGCATTATTAATAGGATATGATCCATCTAGAACATATTCTGGTTGGGGAGACCCTTGGGAACACTTGAGAAGGCTCCAACCAGCGGTGAAGTAATGGGGAAAGGCGGTTGCAGTGAAGGAAATTTAGTGTTCTGTAAGAGCAATGTCCCTAGTTGAGTCCTGTTTACAACCCCCAAAAAGGGAACCTCCGTCCAACGTTTGCTTCCGATGAGCTCCTAGAGCGTCAACATTTCATCTGGTAGTTAAAACCCACCTCAATGGTCCTAAGCTGGTGGTCCACACATCCGAGCAATTCTGCTATTTCTAATGAAATTGGAGGCTGTTATAGTCCAAATGAGCGGACCAAAATCAACATAGCGAATCTCTCTCCTTTCTTTTTTTCCTCAGGACTAAAAATATCAAAAAAGGAAATATTTTCCATCACAGAATTCTTACTTTAAGTCTTTCAGGTACATTCAGCTCTTCCTAATCATCTCGAATTGAACTCGGAGGAGTTCCGCCTTTCAATATGCGTTCTCCTTTGCAAAATGGGTGGGTTCGAATTGTTCAAATCCCCGTGAACGAGTTCCTCACTCCCTCAGCAATGGCGATAAGCAGTTGGCATCAACGTTGTTTCTGTTGCTTTCAGGCTCTGCGATCTCGTCCCTATCGTTCGCTCCACCTCTGCTTCCGGTCTATACGCATTGGCTTCATGTCCACTGCACATCGTTCTCACGGCCATCTCGAGCCATTGAGATCCTCCAGCTCATCGACGATGTATGGCTGAATCGTCACCTCCATTTCGATCATCTCCTCTCCACCTCTCCCACCGTTCTCATCGATCAAGTCTTTTCTTTGTAGCTATGCGATATTTTTAAAATAAACATTTTTCATCCGTCATTAGCTTTTTCTAATTTTCATACCGTAAACGGCCCTTGACGGGCGAATATTTGGGTGAATGTCCAATGCCCACCCCCGCGGTGTATTCTCGGCTGGCGGCCTCTTCCGACTTTACACTGCCAGCCACGACGTGCCTGTTCCGCTGAATTCAGCTGTCCTTTCTTTCGCTGCCGATTTGTTTGTAATTTTTCGAATAATCACACATGTACTGGTAAATTTATTACCGTAACCTAGAACAACAAGGTTTTTTAGAGATTTTTGTTCGAATCGCAAGCTCTCGCACTCTATCCCCAGCGTGGAAAAAGAAACCTTGTTACTGGTACGGATACGCTGGAGCCTACTCGCGACGACTGGGTGACCTCATATCGCATCCGGGGTGACGCCCCTTTCCGTCTATCCACCGACCTCTTGCACCTCAACCCCCACATATACCGCTGTTCCGTCTTGTTCCCACTACCCTGTGTAAATATGTCCGATCGATCGATTCTGGCCTTATCTCGCCACTGATTACTTTCTAGTACTTTACTGATCGCCTATCAGGACGTTCAGCAAGCGTTGTACTGTTCAGGAGCCCTTCAGTTTCCACTTGTTTCTAGACATATTTTTGTTCCTTTTCGAAAGCGATTTTCTTGAAGATTTGGCAAATTTCCGTTCAGAATCGATTTTCTGAAGGATTTGGCAAGGTTCCAGCCCCTAATAAACCGGCACGAGAATACTGCTCCTAATTGGTTGAAAAACGAGCTCTTGGTAACCTTGCAAAATCGATAGCAATGCTGCCAAAACGCAACGTTTTCGGGCTGAAACTGAGGTCAGCCCTCGCTCGCCGCGATTGAGTCCGAGCTGCACCACATTGCCGAAACGGCGCCTAACTAGTCGGACTTGCCATCAGCCTTCTTTATTTAACGCCATCTTTCCATCGTAGTCGACAGCGATCGATTATTCGTATCGATTTCATCGCAACAGCTGCCTCATAAAGGCCGTTATTCATTGGCAACAGCGCTGTTGGCTCGCTAGTTAGCGCTTCTGTTCAGTCCAAACGAATTCCTGTCACCGCTTATATGAACATTCGGTCGTTTTTGCTTTCAAAATATGCCTTTTGTTTTGCTTTTTTTCGTCGCAACAGCATTTCGTCGTTTTCTCGTCCCATGGGAGAATTCATATTCTGTTGTATGATCACTCATTTCATTTTACTCATAAGTTATGAGTAGGGTTTTAGAGAAGACGAAGATCAGTTGAGGACGCCGTAGAGGCGTCGTACGAGCACCAACAATGGCTCTCTCATCGCACTATCACGAGCACAAGCCAAATGTGCCGATCATCATGGAAGACGTGTTCGGCTGGGTCCGTGAGGGTAACGCGTTCCAAGTCAGAGTCTGGCTCGACGACCATGAGCACGACCTGAACGTCGGGTGAGTAATAAGAATTTTAATTAATATTTAAAAAAAATTTCGATTTTCCTCGTTTTCTGCTTTAAATTACACATTATTTGGAAAGCTTCATTGTTGAAGTGGCTCTCTATACATATAATACTTCTCCCCAAATCCCGGATATTGGAAGGGCGTGGCTGCGTCCCTCTCTTGAACATAGCGTAAAATGCTTTTTTCGTCGGATATTTTTGACTTGAGATATTAACTTAGAGTCAAATTCAAGTAGTTCACTTTGTGGCACACGAATAAATGATCCCAGCGGTTCTGAAATAAAAATATTCCCTCCTGAAGGAGCCCTTGCCGGAGAAGCCACGCTCATCGCAGTACGCAGCCAGCCGCCCTCCCCCATCTTCGATCAAAGGATGTACCTCGCTTAGACTAGCATTCCCTTTTTGTTGACATATATCACTTTTTTATGAGGCTCAAAAGGTCAGGAAGGCTTTCAAAAACCACTTTCAGCCGCTTGAGCCTTCCGCAGACTATCATCAGTCAGAAATTCAACAACCCAGCTACAACCCTTCGAGACAGAGTCTCAACGAGGTTCTAAGAGGATCATGTTTCACTTGAATAAACTGGACCGTCAGCGCCGCCTCGGCTCGATCAGCCGTCTAAGCTTTTGTGGAACTTCAATGCTTACTCAGCATTGCCTTCCTCATCCTTGCTTCGTGTACCATCTTTTTCCTTGCCTCATACAATATTTCCTCAGTTTTTATAGCACATACAATCTTGTCCTTCAATAAATTCACCTGTCATCGTTCTTTCATTCTGATCTTCCTCCTCTGAAGAATCCTACTATATATAATCCGCTAAGTTTGTCTGTTGGTGTGTTGTGTGTGCGAATGTATGTGTGTCTGTATGTGGTTTGACCGGAAATTCATAACTTCCTTCAAAACAGCGACAGAGCGCTCAAACTAATAAGTGATGTAGGGGGTCGGGCAGGAACACTATTGGTGGGTGGCAGGAAGTGATAACAATTGATAAGATACCATAACAGGCCTTAGAAGGGGAGGGTCACCAAATTCATAACACCCGTCACAGCAACGACGGACGTTGGTTTCAAGAAGTAAGATAGGGGGCAGGATGGGAACATTATTGGTGGGTGGCAGGAAGTGATAACAGCTGATAAGATACCATAAGGAGCCTTAAAGGAGGGTTACCTAATTCATAACACCGGCCAGAGCAACGACCGGACGTTGGATCCAAGTAGTAAGATAGGGGCAGGATGGGAACATTATTGGATGGGTGGCAGGACGTGATAACAGCTGATAAGATACCATAAGGAGCCTTAGAAGGGGAGGGTCACCAACTTCATAAAACCGTCACACCGAGGGCAGAACGTCGTTTCCAAGAAGTAAGATAGAGGGCACGATGGGAACATTATTGGTGGGTGACAGGACGTGATAACAGCTGATAAGATAATAGGGGGATACTTCAGAAAGGATGCCTCCAAAATTCAAGTCGTAACAACACTGGAGAACTGTTCCCAACAAGGGTAGTATATGTTTGCATCTTTACTCTGCTTGCAACTGAACTGACCACTGCAGCCTAAGGAATCATTGGGCAAAGGCTTAGTCGGGTGCCGAGATGTTTTATCCTTTAGCAATATAATCGCGATTGATTAGACCGCTGAACTCTCGAGTTTCGACAAAAAGTAAAAGCCTAAAGGTGTTTGCCACTGAGGAGTGATAAGAGCCATCAACAGACGGATATGAAAGCCGCTCAACGGAAGTACTAGGATGAAG